AGCACTTGTGGCAGGACTGGCTGTGGTTATTTTCAGATGAACGGGGAAGTTACCAAATGTTCTGTTTTCTTATTAGTGGAGCTCTGAGGTAAAGATTTTTGGTGTGCTGAACAGGGGTCTGTACAGAGCAAAATATAAGAAACAATATCTATGATTAAAAACAGGGCAAAATTGGTTCCTGGGATTCAAACAGGGATTAAATGGAATTACACAAAGCTAAATAATTATTGCCAAATGAACAAATTGTAACAGTACTGATGGCTAGAATGTACTCAGCTTAAACAGCAAGGAAGGAAATTGAGGATAGTTACATATAAAATTAGGCTTTGGAGTTAAAGTAACTAATTTCAGGCATCTAAATATTGCCTGATTTTTAATAGTTGTGCCATTTCTATTTCAAACAGAAATAGACACCATCGGCTGGGTTGAAATGAGGACTTGTGCACGTGTATTGTCATGTGAGCATTAGGCACAAATCTGTGCCATTTATGAAGGCATTTATGAAACACAGCTTGATTTGAAAAACCTCTGGAGATTCTAACGGCTATCTCAGGGGATCCTTAGGACTTTTCTTGAATGTTTGAGCTTTGAAAAATTTCTGGAACTTCTTTCATTTACCAATTTTAAGGACAAAGATTAATTGTCTGGATGTGCCTTGAGACTTTTGTGCCTTTTGTGGAGGCTTGCTGGACAGAGTTGTCCATTATAGCAGTGCTGGGTACATTCTTCCAAATGCCCCTGTTGTCTTCCTTCTCCCCTCCCCAGAAGCAGTACGTGGGGTCAGAGGCCAACTGTAGAACTTCCATGGGCCTCACTAGGTGAGCCCTTGGGTAGTGTGGGTCTTTTTGAAAAACTATTGCTCTCCTTTTTTTCAGTCCATGTTGGTGGATAGGAAAAGAATCTGGTGATAACTGGGAATCTAAAGAATGAATTGAAAGGAGATACTCCATCTATGGCATTTTTTCTTTGTAGCTGGCTGGACCATCAGACTTAGTTGCTGTGCTGAGTTTACTATATTACTTAAGCAGGGTTCTCTAAGCTGCTTTCAAAACTTGGATAAAACCAGAGCACCAATGAGTCATGCCTATAATCCTGGTTACTCAGGAGCTGAGATCTTAGGCCCACAGTTTGAAGCCAGTGTAGGCAGCAAAGTTCAAGAGGTTTCTTTTCTTTTCGTTTTTTGGTTGGTTGTGGGGCTTGAACTCTGGGCCTGGGCACTGTCTCTGAGCTCTTAAGCTCAAGGTTAGTGCTCTACCACTTGAGCCACAGCTCCACTTCTGGCCTTTTCTATTTATGTGGTGTTGAGGAATTGAACCTAGGGCCTCATGCATGCAAGGCAAGCACTCTTCCACTGAGCCACCCTCCCAGCCCTAAGAGGTTCTTATCTCTAATTAACTACCAAAAGAAGAGAAAAATCCAGAAGGGGAGCTGTGGTAGAGTGGTAGAATGGTAGAGTGCTAGCCTACCAAAGAAACTCATAGACAGTGCCTAAGCCCTGAGTTCAAGCCCCAGGATTGGCGCGCACACACACACACACACACACACACACACACACACACACACACATCCCTTTCTTCCCCCAAAAAATCTTAGATAAAATATAGATAATAGAGTTTATGCAGTTCTGCAGAGAGAAAACATGGCCTTCTTCTCAAAGTAAACAAAGAATTTACTCTTCAAACCTTACACTAGATGTTTGATCATTCTGATAGAGCCATAGTTAGACCAACTTAGGGCCCGGTTGCTGTCCCTTAGCTTTTGTGTTCAAGGCTGGTGCTCTACCACTTAAGCCAAAGTTCCACTTTAAACTTTTTGTGGTTAATTAGAGAATCTCAGGGGCTTTCCTGCCTGGGCTGGCTTCAAATCACAATCCTCAGATCTCAGCCTCCTGAGTAGCTGGGATTATAGGTGTGAGTCACCAGTTCCTGGCTAGTTAGACTATTATTATAAAATAAGTAAGAGCAAGCATAAGCACCAAAACTTTAGCTTTACAGTTCATTCTTTCCAAGTCCTGTTGATTCATATATAACAAATTTTCTCACATTTGACCTTTCAGAAATTTATCCCCCTCCTCACTCTCTACAGACATGACGCTCATCTCAACGGTCTGTTGCCTAAGGACACATCTCTCCTATAAGCACTGCATTGTGACCATGAATTTTTTTTTTTTTTGTCGTTCGTGGGGCTTGAACTCTGGGCCTGGGCGCTGTCCCTCAGCTCTTCAGCTTAAGGCACTCTACCACTTGAGCTACAGCGCCACTTCCGATTTTCTGGTGGTTTATTGGAGATAGGAGTCTCACGGTCTTTCCTGCCCGGGCTGGCTTTGAACCGCGATCCTCAGATCTCAGCCTCCTGAGTAGCTAGGATTACAGGCGTGAGCCACCAGCGCCCGGCCCATGAATTTTTTTTTAACCGATGGTAGAAATTAATTGCAAGATACTTTTAGTGTGGAAAGTTGGTGTAATGTCTGAGGATCTATGATCTTTTCCATTCTGCCTTTCTCTATATCCTTGTTTTCCCCTACATTCTTTTTTTAAAGTATTTTTTAATGTAAAGATACTGTACAGAGGGATTACAATTACATGAACAAGGTAATGAGTCCATTTCCTGTAGAGCATTGTTACACCCTCCTTTATTTTCCCCTACCATCCCTTTCCTCCCCACCTCCACAACTCCTCCCTCCCCTCTCCCCCCGCTGCAAAGTTGTAAAGTTCATTTTCAACATATTGTCTTATACATCTCGTTGTTACAATGGGTCATCCTGTATCCTTATTTCAGCATTTTGTTATTTCTCTTCCCCTCCCCAAATTAGAAAAATGTATATATGAGATGCAGGACGTTGGAATCAAATACAGTGACAACAGGGGCTGTACCATGGGGGAAGAACATACAAAGAAACAAAAAAAACACATAGTACATGATAAGTACATTAAAAAGAACAGGAACAAAGATAAAACCTTTTGTTTTCCCATCTTGGGGTTCATTTTTGCTTAGCATCAGGTTATATGGTCATATATACATAGCTTTTGACCTCTTCTGCTTGTCCTAGACATATAGTAGTTATTGCAGATAAGGGACACCATGGGACCTATGTTTGTTTAAGTCTGGCTTACTACACTTAATATGATTTTTTCCAAGTCTTTGTATTTCCTAACAAATCCCCTCCTGTTCTTATGCTGTATTTTCCTTCTTTACATTGGAGTTGCATTCTCCTAGAGATCTTTTCTGATGAGCTTTCAGCCCATCTCACCATCATCTCTTACCTAGCTTGTCACAACATTGAGCTGGGGTAGCTTTCAAGCGTCCTATTTTTTGTCACTCTAGTTTCTGTCACCTGTACAGCCTTCTTCTTCCCCTGACTCTTCACTCTTCCCAGCCTCCTGTCTGCCTGTGGTCAGAGCTGTGTGTGAGTCCCCTGACCCACTGGTCCCCTACCAATGACCCTCAACACTAAGGACACTTGTAGATCCTGGGTGATGGAGCTGTTCGTCTAATGCTGTTTTAGACCCAGCCCCACACAGAATCTTGTGGCTCATTTGTATTTTAAAGAGATTCTTTCCCCCTCTAAACCTTTTCTTTTTAATCGGTCATAAGGCCTGAACTCTGGATCTGGGCACTGTCCCTCAGCTCTTCAGCTCAAGGCTAGCGCTCTATCACCTGAGCCACAGTGCCAGCTTTTTCTGCTTATGTGGTGCTGAGGAATCGAACCTAGGGCCTTATGCATGCAAGACAAGCACTCTGCCACTGAGCCACCTTCCCAGCCCCCCTCTCAAACCTTTTTATAGCCACTCCTGTTAGCTAAAATGCATTGGCTATACCTAACCTCAAAACATGCAAACTTCACAGCATAGCATGCTGCTGAGGGCCACTCTTTCCTTTTGCCATTCTGTGGCTTATGGGAAACTGTGGGTACTGCCTTTTCCCAGCATCTGAGAGATGATCCTGTTGATAGAACTGGAGGCCATCATAGTAAGAGAAATAAGCAAGACTCAGCCAAATGCCACAGGTTCTTGTTCATTTGTGGAAGCTCAAAGCAGTTGACCTGGATATAGAACAGAGGTTATTAGAGGCTGGAGGTAGGAGCAGAAAGGGAGGGTGTATCAGGGTAAGTTTTATGCATATACCAGTTTATCTTGTTATTGCATGGTAATAAAAATACACTAAAATAACAATCCTGAACTGTGAAAAATTAGATTAGACTTCAAAATCGGAGTTATGGCTTCTATTGAAAGGGATTTGTTTTCACACCATGATAAGCTGACCTATCTTCAGTTGGGGCTGGTCTGTATTTGCACTTTGGTGTGTTTTCAAGGCAAGGCATCTGACCCTGAGTGAAAAGTTGACAAAACAGCTTGCTGATAGGATAATCATAAAACCCATGGACTTAGAAGTTCCTGAGATACAGAGCATCAGAAGTTGGAGGTCAACTAGCATTAGTCTGTGCATTAAAGACTAAATTGCTCATTTCAACCTTATCTGTTCATTAAACACTTGGTCTTGTAAGACTATCATAAAATTCTTGTTTCCTGCTGTACTTCTTGTCTGCAAGTTTATTCTTTAAGCTTTGGACATCAACAAAGTGTTCAACTAAGAAAAAAGAGTGTGTCATTGGTCATAGGACACTATTTGTATACAACTACAATCATAAAAACAAGAGCTACAATATGTTCAGTGAAATGTTTTAAAATGCCTGTGTGTTGTTAGTTTTACTTGGAGGACAGATAAGCTGACTCCCTGCTTCTCTCTCTCTCTCTCTCTTCTTTCTTTCTTTCCTTCCTTCCTTCCCTCCTTCCTTCCTTCCTTCCTTCTTTCCTTCCTCTCTCTCTTTCTCTCTCTCTTTCTTTCTTTCTCTCTCTCTCTTTCTCTCTCTCTCTCTCTCTCTCTTTCTTTCTTCTGATGTAAGCAAGCAGTTGTTTTCCTGGATGTTCAAGTGGAGTCTCTGGGATTCATAGTCCCAACTATGGCATGTGATAAATGACTCTGTCTCCCTTCTTCCTAAGGGAAGCCATCAGCCGTGTCTGCGAAGCAGTGCCTGGTGCCAAAGGAGCACTCAAGAAAAGGAAGGTACTGCCTTTAACATCATGTGTGTCTCTGTGACAATGTCTCATTGCTTGGCATCTTCATTTACAAAAAGATCTACTGTCCTCTTCCCATGGCCTGCCTCTTGTCATTTGTAAAATCAAAGAAAGCTAACATTGCTCTTGATTCCCTGTGGTTGAGGCCAGCGAACTGTCATTGCTGACCAACAGTGGACACTATGATCATTCATTGTGGTTTAATCCTGAAGATAATGACAATAGCAAATACTTGGCTAGATGTTCCTTTGAGGATTTAAGATACATGAATTTACTTAATCATAGCAACTCCTTGTGGAAGGTAGTCCAGTGGTGTGTTGGTAGCATTTTACCACCAGCTCTTGGGGATGAGGATTTAACACTTGCCAATTTCTGTGGTGTCAATACTTTTGTGGGGTTGACTTCAGCATGACATTCCTAGAAACAGTAGGTTTGGGACCCGCAGTAGCACGTTATACAGAATTTCCGCTGTACAGGTACAGCAGATGTGAAAAGCATAGGTGGGTTTCTAAAGCAAAACCGTTTATCTGTCCAGTATTGTCTCCGTGTGTGTGTGCACACCAATATTGCACTCATTTGGCTATTTCAGTGATCACTGTCACACTATCATTTAAGCCACATCTCCACTTCTTTTTTGCTGGTTGATTGGAAATAAGAGTTTCATGGATTCAAACTTTGAGCCTTAGATCTTGGCCTCCTGAGTAGTCAGGATTACAGGCATGAGCCACCAGTACCCAGCTTGTCTTTTTTTTAAACTTAAAAACGTTATTATAAAGGTAATGTACAGAGGACTTACATAAGGCAGGTAAAGGGTACATGTCTTTTTGGACAATGTTACCAACTCTCTCGCTTTCTCCCAGTTTCCCGCCTGTCTCCCACCCACAAATTATAGAGTTGATTTTCAACATACTGTCCGGTGAGAACCATTGCTGCACTTTTCACCCTTTGTCCTTCCACTGTACCTCCTCTTTCACTCTCAAAGACATATAAATGAACAAACAGAACAAAAAGAAACAACAAAGAAAAGCTTGTTCCCATTTATCATTTTGATAAATATTATTTTGTATGTTCAGAGGCACATAGGCCTTGTACCATTCTGTTCCTCTCCTAAGAGACTGTAAAAACTGTGATATATTTCATTGTGAATTTGCATCGGTCATTTTAATAAAATTATTAAGAAGCAGCCCATGCAATTCCTAAAAGGTCTAATGGGATCTCATTAGCTGAAACTATGCAACATCAGTGGAAATCCTACTTATAGATGATAAAAACTGAGGCACAGAGGTGAGAAATCTTAATACAGGTAGGAGGTGGAGCTGAGGTCGAGCCCAATCCACCTGCTCCAGGGACTAGTTCAACTCTATCTTGAATAAAAAGTTGGAGTAGAAGAAAACAAAATATTTGAATTAAGAGAAAACACACACTCAAAACCCTTTTTTAGTGACATGTGCAGTAAATAAATCACTGTACTTATGATTGTGACTTTTCTCTGCCTAGAAAGAATTATGTGTAAGAGTATCTTAAAGACCCTGAATCTGCCCCTGAGACTGTGCATTTGATTCCAACTGATTTTGGAAAACAATTCCCTGCTATTCCTAGCCCTATTCGTCTGCCATTGGAGCTGGGTGGTGGGGAATCCATAGATCCATGGGTTACCTGGGTTTCTAGCAGAGAACTTTGACAGCTCAGGTATGCTAGTTTAGGTTTTGTCGAATCCTCTGGGGATCCTAGGGATGAAGCTCTGGAATCCTGAAAACAGGAACTAGGAAAAAAATCTCAAAACAGGGCTAGGTGATCTCATTTCTCAGAGCCAGGTGGTACTGACAAGCCTTGGGGTATGCTTATGGCTCTTGGTAGGTAGAAGTGGAGCTCATGATCATTGCCAGATTTTATCTTAGATGCACTTGACCCAAATCTCACAGGGGAGAAGAGCACTGGAAGGGCATCTCTATTTTTAAAGAGTTCTTTCAAGAATGTTGACTTTTTTTTTTAAAGAAAGGATTGCCACAGAGACCAAAAGAAACAACATTTATCTGATTTCTCTGTGAAGCAAAGAGCCGTGTTTTGAATCCATGGAATCAGGGCAGGCTTGAATAGTATATATATAAGCCCAGGAGAGATTTTTTTTAATAGAGGTTATTTCATAAAAAGTTGTTTTTAGAGGCATTTTACTTGGCTGTGCAGAAACTCTAAACAGCAAAACCCATTCTGATTGGTTTGTGGATTAGGGTACACCCATCTGGGAGCTACAGAAGGCCAGTGAATACTGACTTAAGGGGTTTATCCTTTGGTCTGCCCTTCAGCAGTTGGAGTGCATTGCTTATGATCCCTCAACTCCACTTTAGAAAGCCTTAGCGTTAGTTACTTTATTTTCTCTCCCAGGAGATTAAAAAAGTGCATGCTTGGTTAGAAATTAATTAGCATACTTATGAGAAGTTATTGTAATATAAATGAAAAGAATGAGTTGATCCCAAAGGCCAGAGAGATGAGTGCTTCAAAGCTTGTCCAGGGACTCCAGGGAGGAAGGAAGTGCTTAGCTGGAAACCAAAGTCCTTGCATTTCTGCACAGAGACTTTTCTGAAGGGGCAGAGGAGACACAGTTATGGCCAGCCTCTGTCTCTCCATCCTGTGTTGGCTCCTGGCCAATGGGCCATCTAGATAAGCTTTGACCAGAAAGATGTTTAGACTCTTCCCTTCAGTGATGAGCATCCTGGTTACCCTCTGTGATTGCTTATTAGTCTCATGTCTGTTCTGAGAGCTAGTTTGATTCTTGGTGTGCTGAAACCAGGTATCAAAATATGCAATGCTGTGTGTTTGTGAACTCCCTGCTATTTTTTCAGGCCCCATAGGGACCCCATGAGACAAAAGTATGTGGTAAGAGGCAGCCAGGAAGATTGATACCTCTGACTGTTCTCAAGGGCCCTCATCTCAGCATTTGCACACTGGGTCTTAGACAACTTACATATGGCATATTGTGGATTGCGCATATTAGCACTGACTCCCACCATTCCAGTCCATCCATTTTTTTTTCTTGTCCTCCTGTACCTAAAGGATTAGGAGCAATCAGTGATGGTTTGGGGGTGTGCTGACATCTGTGCCTCCACCCTTTGAGTCTGAGAACACTATTTCTATAAATAAAAAGCTGGAATAATGAAACATTTCTTTGATTTCACAGCCTCCAAGCAAAATGCTATCCAGCATCCTGGGAAAGAGCAATCTCCAGTTTGCAGGAATGAGCATCTCCCTGACCATCTCCACCGCCAGCCTGAACCTGAGGACACCTGACTCCAAACAGGTGTGGTTGCTCAGGGTTTCCAGCCTGGTGGGCACTATGCTCATGTCACATGTTGACTCATCTGTAGACTTTGGCCACTGTGAAGAGTCATCAATGGAATGATCCATGAGCTTGCTCCCTTTCATTATATTCTAATGTGTGTGTGTGTATATGTGATGCATGAAGCTGTTGGTTTACTTACAGTAGAGCAACAAAAGTGATATGTGTGCAAACTCTTCTGTTCATTGTCGTTGCCCTTTTATAATTCCTTTTTTTATTGTTTTTATAGACCACATTTTAATTTTATCACCTCTGAAGCAGAGAGCAGGCTATGGTTTAATTGGAAGTTGTTTTTCTTTCTTAGTGGTTTTATATTTTGGAGCATGGTCCAGTTCAGGGTGTTGCAGGATTGGTGAGATGTGATGTGTCTGGAGAATAATCAGGGTGGGCAACTTCAGAGCTGAGCAAAGTAGTATAGACAGACTTATTAAGGTTAATTCCATTTGGGATGGTTGTACCAGGCACAACATCTGTCTTCTAGGTTTCTCTATTTAGCATTAGTTTCTTAAGTGGGAAAAAAATGGGTATATGAGTGGCTGCCTGGCTACCAACAGGTCATTTCTGAAGGTCCAATGAGAAGAAGGAAGCAAAGATGCTTGTATAGTATGTAGCATGTGAACATCATCCCCTGCTCTGACCAGACCCAATGTTAGCAGTGTGAGTTACACATTGTGTGTGCGACACAATTCTGATTTTTACTGTCTTGCCAGGGATGACATTGTCACCTTTATAGGTATTTCTGTTTATTGAGTACATAGTCCCAGGTAAGTGGGATGCATCTCCAGCTCTATTGATCCTACTCTTCCCACCCAAGATGTAGCAGTAAACCTAGATCTTGTATAGATATGAGAATCAGCATTCTGGTCTTCTTTGAACATAACTAAATACCACTTCTCTATTCTTTTGTCCTCCAGAGACAACCCCCACTCCAGGAAATCCATTCTTAAGGATTAATTTTCATGTAAAGCATGTTGGTCAGGGTCAGCCTTTCTTTGAACTGTCTCCAGTGGAGCTCATGCTGTTGGTGGAGACTGGCCCTTTCAGGCACTCATATTTGCACTCATATCCTATAGGATATGATAGCAGTATGGAGGTTCCTCAAAAGACTACACTACACATAGAGCTTCCCTATGTCCTAGCAATCCCACTACTGGGCATTTACCCAAATGACCACAAACAAGGCCATACTAAATAAAACCAAAGTAGAAGCACATGCCAATACAGGAAAGTGGATTGGCTCTAATTTTCTCACTTTCTTTTCAGTTTCTGTTACTAGAAGAGGATAGATACAGGCACTGAAAACTGTTTTGTGTTGACCTGATGTTGACTTTCATTTTTTCCACAAAGTCAGAACTTGTAGCTTCATTTCTCAGCTTCAGTTTGAATTTCTTTTTCTTTGAATTTCTTTTGGTTAAAAGCATGAGTTAAATAAGCAAAAATACACAAAGATTAACGGTGCAAAAATTAAACATGTCAGAAGTCCTAGATTTTCCTTGCTTGGGGATGGCTACTTCTCCTTGTTCTTTCAAGAGCTGTCTATCACTGGCAAGCGGTAGATTCTAGGGCAAGCAACTATTATTAGTTCAAGTGAATTGGGGCTTGGACACAAGCTACCCTGCCAGTCACGCTGTTTTATATTCATGAATATATTCAAGTTTTTCTAGGTCCTGAAGTTTTACAAATGCCACTTAACAAATTAGGCATTTAAAAATATCTTGGGAAGCAGAGATCAGAGTATTATGATTCAAAGATAGCCCGGGCACAAAAAATGCTTTCTGGACTCCATCTCAACCAATGGCTAGGTATGATGGTGCGTGGCTGTCATCCCTACCACCAGGAAGCACAAGTAAGAGGTTCACAGTGCAAGTCAGATCATCAGAGCGAGACTTTTCCTTGAAAATCAGCAATGCAAAAAGAGACTGGAATCATGGCTCAAGTGGTAGAACACCTACCTAGTAAAGTTCAATTTCCAGTAATGCTTCAAAAAGAAACCTAACAAGCAAATCTTCTCTGTGTGTGTTTAGCAATGCCTGAAGGCCTAGGTTCAATGTTCAGCACCTCAAAATGGAAAAAAAAAAAGTTATGATGTAGTTTGGTTGTGTTCTACATGCAGCTGCACAGGAGCTTTTTTTAAATCTCCAGGATATTATTATTATAAATCATATTAAGATAATAAATGAGCTTTGTAAATCCCAACTGTCTGCTGAAGGGCGAGAGCTTGAGCAGGCTGCCCAGACATAAACCTGGTTGCATTGGGATGGAAGTGAGATCTTCCACCCCTCGAAATTCAATGTCAATCCATTGTCTTTATCAAGATAAAAATAGTGCAGAAGATTTAGACAGCTTTGGAGATTTAGGGCAGCTTCTAATTTACTCAGTGTCTGCTGAGTTTCATTTAGGCGACAGTTCACAAAGCAAATGGGAACTTCCCATTTTAAAATTAACTTGGAATGTCTTCCCTGGTTTTAAAGTTGACAAATTTTACACGTGCTTTTAGGAACACACACTTTGGATCTTGGCTGCTGACTTTCTGATTTAAAGAAACATGCTACAAATAAAGAAAGAGATGAGAGCACATTTCCTTCCTAGCTATGGGGTCTATAACAGAAGCCCTGGTATACTTCTGGAACTAGGAAGTTGCACTGTTTGAGTGTGTGAGGGGCACTTCTTAACACACTTGTTAAAACTCTGACCTTGAGTTGGAGACTTGGGCTTGAGCTCAGAGCTTGTGCAGCTCAAGGTTTTTTGCTCAAGGTTAACACTTTACCATTTGAACCACTTACCATTTGGAACCACAGTTCCATTTGTGGCTTTCCGGTGGTTTATTGGAGATAAAAGTCTCATGGACTTTTCTGCCCCAACTGGCTTTGAATCACAATCTTTAGAGCTCAGCCTCCTGGGTAGCTAGGATTATAGATATGAGCCACCAGTGTTTGGTGTCGCTCATCTTTTTACTTTGAGCAAGCTACTTGGTCTATGGCTACAAACTCCTCATCTGTAGAGGAATTCCCAGCTCCTGATTGGCTAGCCAACCAACTAGATAGCAATGGGACTCAGACTGGGTATGTTTACAACAGGGGATCTAGCTGTAGTCTTTGCTTTTGTGCAGGTGCCAGTTTTCAAGAAAGCTTGTCAATTTATATAGCCTGCCAACAAGTACTTGGTTTTGCAAGACCTGGGAAGGGTAATAACATCCTGTCTCTTTTTGTTTGGGCTTGGCAGATCATAGCTAACCATCACATGCAGTCCATTTCCTTCGCCTCAGGAGGAGACCCGGTAAGTATGCTCTGATTTGTTTCTCTTGCTCTTGTTCCAAGTTTCTGAGAAGGGATTCTTGTATCCACAGCGTGCCCCATAAGTCCATAAGACATAAAAAAGTGAATCCAACTATTTCCCCTTCTTGGTTTCAGAAGCTGCTCCCCTCCTCCTTTTTTTTTTCTTCTTGTTTTGTGCCAGTACTAGGGCTTGAACTCAGGTCCTGGGTATGGTCCCTAAGCTTTTTTGCTCAAGGTTGATGTTTTACCACTTGAACTATGTTTCTACTTGGGACATTTTGCTGGTTAATTGGAGATAAGGGTCTCATGGATTTTTTTCTGTTCTGGCTGGCTTTGAACAGCCATCCTCAGATCTCAGGCTTCTGAATAGCTAGGGTCACAGGCATGAGCCACCAGTGCCTTGCTATCAGAAGCTCTTTTTGACTGCGTTGTTTGAGGAGAGGGTAGTCCATGACGAGTACTTACAATTAGTTTTCATTTCATTGACAAAAGCTTCAGAAACTCTGGAAGCATTTTCCTTCTTAAGAGGTGACAAATAGGTCCCAGTTTTCAACTATCTGAGTCTTCTCACATATACACTCTATATTTACCCTACATTTATTTCTGGTGCTTGTACTGGTACTTGAACTCAGAGCTTGGGTGCTATCTCTTAGCTTTTGTTCTCAAGTCTAGCACTCTGCCACTTGAGCCACAGCTCACTTCCAGCGAATGTGTGTGTGTGTGTGTGTGTGTGTGTGTGTGTGTGTGTATGCTTAATTGGAGTATCAGAGACTTTCCTATTCATAGCTAGTTTCCAATCTTGATCCTTATATCAAGCCTCAGCCTCCTGAGAAGCTACCATTTATAATACCCCTCTTCCTCTCTCCCGCCCCGCTTCTTCTTTCTCCTTCTTTTCCTCTTCCCTCTCCTCAGCTTTGCCCTCCTTCTCATGTTCCTCCTCCTTCTCCTCTCCCCAGCCCCAGATAGGGCCAAACTCCGATGCTCACTACCCACTAATCTGTTGATGCTCAGCCCTTCAAACCATCGTAGGAAGGAAAGGCAGAGAGAAGAGGGGAGGAAACAGGTCCCATCCTTCTCAGCAGGGACAGGAGAAAGGATTCTTCTCCCCTGGTACATTGTTATATTAGTTTTTACCAGTCTGGGTAAAGCTTTCACTAGTTCAGTGATATTTTTTAGAATGATAAGATGAGGTTTCATTTTTTGTGAGATACTTTTACTCAATTGAAAATAATGTTCCCCATATTCTTGTTAGTTTTTTGGTGTTAAATAGCCTTTATATAATAAAAATAATAGTGGGTTATGGGTTGTTATTATACTAAAGTTTCAGTAGGCACTGTTACTCAAAAATGTAGCCATCCAAGATACCCCAAGGGATTGGCATATTCATCCTCTCTTTAAGGTCAGGGACCCTGTTGATTTCTATTTTCACCATGACCTTCTTACCTCTTCTCCTGGATTCCTTTGACCCTGGTACCCTGCTGTCAAAGAATGGCTGTTGACTCGTAGGAAGTAAACGAAGAACCATTTCAACCGCAGATTCCAGAGCCTTCCTTTTCCTAAAGGACCAGGTGGTAGATATCAGCAATGGGAAATCCTTGGCCAAGAACAGGGCCAGAGGCAACATGACTGCAGTGAGGGATGGGGCTGCATGCTGGCTGGGTGAGGGCGGGGCCCTCTGCCTTTCAGCAACCCCACCTCGGACCTTGAGCCACAGATACTGGGCAGAGGAAAGGATCATCTGCCCACCCCTGCATTTGGCTCTTTGCTCTCAAATCATCACCTAGCAGTGTGAGGATGACCAGGGCACAGTTCAGCAGTCTCACCCCAGAGCTCCTGTGGCTTGAGCCCTTTACCACACTTGATGGTAGTGTTTTTCAAAAGCTTCCTCCCATAACAGATTTCTATCATTTTTCTTTTCCTTGGCTGAGCCTTTCTTTTCTTTCTTATCCTTCTGAGTTCTTATGTTTCATCCTAACAGGAGATTTTGAGTGAGATGCCTATTCAGAAAGCAGAATTGTCCAGTGTCTACCTGTAGAGCAGGTCTTTAGATAACACCCGCATGTACATGTGTGCCTAGTTTTTACCTTTACTGCCCCTTCCCCCCCCCCCCACATACACCCAGGCCTTCCCCCACATGTCTCCTCCAGGCATTCTGACTGATTGCTAACCCAACCTGATGTTTGGAAGCATAGTCTGTCCTCTTTCCCTCCTTCTCTTCCTGGTGCTGGGGATAGAACCATAACTTCTTAAATGTAGAAGGGAGCCTAGTATGAGAAGATAAAAGCAGATATCGTGTTCATCTGGATCAACAGCTCCTTTCAGGAAACCTTTTTACACTTTATTTTTTAATCATATTATGAAGATAGACACAAATATCTAACTCACAGGGAGCCAAATGTATTGGCTCACGTTAGAAGTGTTTTATTTATAAAGATACAAATGAGACTATAATTTTTATTGTGTCTTCAATAAAAGAAAATTGAAAAGAAAGATTAATAACATTAAGGGACACACTTACATTAATATGTGATGCTTTGTATTTTATATTTTCTGTAACTTGCTTTTTTTTGGTGCCCATACTGGAGCTTGAACTCAAGGCCTGTTATCTTATTTCAACCTTCAGTATAATTCGACAGTGCCTTCTTCATACCTTCCCTCTCAACTGTGGTTGATAGATTTGTCATTGACATAGGGTTTTCCAATTTCTCCTTTTTCTTTTCTTTTTTTTTAATTGTCAAGCTAGTGTACAGAGTGGTTACAGTTACATAAGCAAGGTAATAAGTACATTTCTTGTCAAACTTGTTACCCCTTTCCTCATTTTTCTCCTGCTTTCCCTCCCCCTACCCCACTCCCCAAGTTGTACAGATCATTTCCAACATACTGTCTTGTGTATGTCACTGTTGCATTGGTTCCCCCTTTGTCTTTTGTCTCACCATTCTCTTCCCAAATTCAAATAAACACATATAGAATACCAGGGTACCCAAACCACATACAGTGACAACATGGAATATACTTTTTCATTCACAGCTGGCTCTCTATCACTTGTCATACCTCTACTTCCTGTGCTTTGCTTAGTAATACAAAAAAGGATTGCTTCCCATTTTATCCATTCCAAATACAGGTGAAATTATGCATGCAACCCATTACAGATTAAGCTATAGCCCTGATTTTAACATATAACAATTCATAGGTGATTTTAATGAAAGAATTCTAGGTTCTAGCTTAACACTCTGTGTCTGGATCTTAACATTTGTCCACATCAAGAAAAAAATTATATATATATATATGTATAATATGTGAATTATAAGAATGTACACACATATGATAAAAAGGACATATCTCTACATAAAGCATATATATCTATATATGAAAATATATCCATCTATCTGGAAAGTGAATTTATTTATAGGTTTGGAGGATGGGAACTTCTCCATCTGTGTCTACCTTGCCCTCCACAGAGTCATAACTACGAGGAAAGGTGAAACAAAAGCCAGGACTAAAACTGGAACTGAGATAAGTCTTTCTCCTGGGAAATCTTTCTCTTGGCACCTAAGGCTCTTGCTGTAGGCTATTTTCATTCTCAGTATGGTTATTTCTGACAAAGATCCCAATCCCTAAGGCCCCATTAAAATATCTGCCACTTATCACTTTGCCCCTTAGTCTACCCAGTAGGAAAATGGCAGATAAAAGTATCCAATTAGACAAGCTATAAAACACTATTAACTCATTTCCCCAATTAGTGCTTTCACTCTGTTGTAACTGGGCAATGTCAAGGTCATTGTATTGAATCCTAATATCCACAAGTATAGCAGCAGCTGCTCACCAGTGGCTCATACCTGTAATCTTAGCTACTCAGGAAGCTGAGATCCAAAGGATCAAAGTTCAAAACCAGCCCAGGCAGAACAGTCTTCAAGACTTATCCAGCTAACCAGCAAAAAGATTGACTGGAGGCATGGTTCAAGTAGTGGAGTACCAGCCCCGAAGAAGTAAGCCAAATGAAGAGTATGGACTTCAAGCCAAGATAGTGGAACAAAATAAACAAACACAAGAAGAAGTACCCTAGGAAAGGAACAACACTGGTATACTGGTAAAGCCATACCCTCACTGACCATCTGAAAGATGCACATCATATCTCATTACTGCCCTTCTTTCCCTAACTGCGTGCCAGAGTAAAGATTCTTAGACCAGCGCAAACACCTTTTAATAAAAAAATAAATAAAAAAGCCAGGCCCCGGTGGCTCACGCCTGTAATCCTAGCTACTCAGGAGGCTGAGATCTGAGGATCACTGTTTTAAACCAGCCTGGGCAGGAAGGTCCATGAGACTCTTATCTCCAATAAACCACTAGAAAACCAGAAGTGGTGCTGTGGCTCAAGCAGTAGAGCACTCGCCTTGAGTTGAAGAGCTGAGGGATAGCGCCCAAGCCCAGAGTTCAAGCCCCACGACCAACAAAAAATAAAATAAAATTTCCCTGTATATACAAACGCTGAATCAAATTAATTTTGTTACCTGAAGATGTAAAAAGACATTGACTCTTTATGTTATACTTTTTAAAGAACTCTCTAAACCCCAATCAAATTTGAAAGTTAAATAAAAAGACTGACTGAAGCCAATAACGTTCACTGTGATGACAAAGTTGTTGAATCTAAATATCTGCTCTTGACATGTTACTATACTGGCTGCCAAGGTTCAGAATTTTTTGAAATGTGGCCTATGAATATCTCCATGTCTCCCCCCCCGCCCCCCCCGCCACCGCCACTTTGGAAATTTTTTTTAATTATTTTTATTGATCTAAAGGTGATGTACAGAGGAGTTACACATGAGTCAGGTAATGAGTACATTTCTTTTTGGACAATGTCACCTTTTCCCTTGCTTTCTCCCTGTTTTTCCCCTCCTGACCTCCCTTCCCCACAAGGTGTATAATTCACACTCAACATAGTGTCTAGTGAGCATAGCTGCTTCATTTGTTCACTCTTTATCCCCCACCTCTGTGCTCCCCCTTATCCTCCCCACCACAGATACACTTACGTTTTTTTAAGTTAAGCATCTCGATTTCCATAGGCATTTGGATGATTTAATTCTTCTAGTACTTCTTCCTCCCAAAGCAAAAACTTTGGTTGTGCTTCATTGTGTACAACTGTGATGGCAATTTGAGTCAAGTGGAGCACAGGAGACTACTCAGTATTTTCTTTCAAATTCTTCAAAAACTCAGCACCCATAATATCCAAAACCCAACTGCAGATCTTGGCATTGAATTTGCACACAGAGCTTGATGACACACACATCCTGTCTAAATAATCCTGTTTGTTCTCCCATTAGTTTAGTCTTTACATCCTTCCTTCCATTTCCTTTCTTCTTTCTATTTCCCTCCTTCCTTCCTTTCTTTCTTCCTTCCTTCCCTCTTTCCTTCCTTCCTTCCTTCTTTCCTTC